CCCCCCCCCCCCCCCCCCAAAAAAAAAAAAAAAAAAAAAAAAAAAAAAAAAAAATTCGCCAAAAAAGGACCAGAAAATCAGACCGTTAATCAGACATAACGGTCTGATTTTTGAACTGGGCGATCACCCATGCCAAATTTTTGCCTCTCTATTTTTCTTCTCATTTTGCTTTCGATGTTTCCGTACTTGCTCAACACACTCATATGGATGTTTGATCATTCCAAAAGACTTACCATTATAAGTTTGAACGAGTTTTTCGTTTTCTTTGAGCATATCTTTGTTATGTCTCTTTTTCTCAATTTTTTCTATAACCCTACAGTATATCTCCTTACAGTCCAGTCCTTTAAGAAAGTCCCCGAGATGGCTTAGTTTATCAGTGATTTATATTTCTATATTTTGTTTCTTTCTTTCTTTTTTTTTTTTTTTTGGAGAAATCTAGGTAGACATCTTCATTCGTGCAAAATTATGTAATACACGCTTTCAAGTTGCATCGTCAGGTACTGCTTCTGGACATGCCTCATTTTTTTGTAGTGATATTTGTGTACAGGTTGGCGCTTTTCTCTCTGGAGAAAGATTACCCTAAACAACAAATTGAAGAAACCAACATTTGTTTTTGTAATGTTCAAAGGGAAAATGGGTTTTATCACCAGGACAATTGTGGTTATGTGTTATCATTAAATTTTATGAGGCTTGTACTTCTGGTGTCCCAGAAAATTTATGGACTTTCTTCCCCATTAGTGCTGTAGAAACTCTGTATTTCTTGTCCAGTCTGTACCGTAAGTTTCAGCAAATTTGCATTGGTTGATGAAAATATTGTCATGCTTGTTTATTTATTAACAGTATTGTGAGTTGGGCAGCCATATAAATGTTCGATTCTTCTGTAGCAGTGCAATTCATTTAGAATTAATTTATTTGTACAATGACTTTGACAATGTGTAGAGTTTAAAGATCTTAACTATTGAATTCAAAAACAGTTTTTCAAATCAATGGATATTATGCCTGCCAACTAACACATTGTAATTTTTTTTTTTGTCAAATTCATTGTACAAATAGCATGATCGATTCATTTATGCTATTATGATTTTTCGAGAGGAAAAGTAGAACTGGACTCTCCAATCTTTCAAGTAGTGTGGAAACGGCTTCCATACCTTGAGGTTTCAACTATCTAACCTATTTGAAACTGATATTGGATGCTTCCATTTTGTATGAATTAGAGAGGAGAAACATCGATAGTGAAAGAAATGCTTCCTATATTGAATCCTCGTTAACCCACCGCTGGCTGGTCCGATTAATATACTCCATGTAAATGTCTTGATTCAAAAACTAGAATGGACGATTTATTAACTATTCTATTCAATTTAGCGTACAAAACATGTTGAAGCAATATTTCATTATTATCCTACTTTTTTTCTTTTTTTTTATCTCCACGGACCAATGAGAACAAATTGATCCATCATTTATGAGCTCGTCTTTTTAGCTTGGTGAAATTAGGAG